GTGATTGATACAGCTGCATCATTTCACGCCACTTCACACCAGAACTTATTCAAATCTTATAAGTCCGGAGACTTTAGAGCTGTGAAGATGGGAAACACGAGTTTCTTGAAGATTGTTGGCATTGGTGATGTTTACATAACAACCAATGTCGGATGCGCACTTGTGTTAAAAGATGTTCGACATGTTCTGGATCTTAGATTGAATCTTATCTCCGGCGCAGCTCTGGATCAGCAAGGATATCTTAACAGATTTAAAGAAGCTACGTGGAAGTTATCTAAAGGTTCCTTGGTTGTTGCAAGAGGCCATATTTGTGGTACTCTATAAAACTCATGCAAAGTTGTGTCATCCAAGTCTCAATGTTGTTGAAGAAGAGATATCACCAAACTTGTGGCACAGGAGGTTAGGCCACTTGAGCGTGAAGGGATTGACAACTCTTGCAAAGAAGGAAGCCATTTCCATGGGCAAAGGTGTTGCCCTAGATCCATGCGAGCACTGTCTATTTGGGAAACAACACAGGGTTTCCTTTTGTTCTACCAGGAAGAACCATACAGAGTTACTCAGTCTTATCCACTCAGATGTATGTGGACCCATTGAAGAGGAGTCACTTGGAGGAAGCAGATACTTTGTGACATTCATTGTTGATGCGTCACGGAATTGAAGGTATGGGCTTACTGTTTAAAGAGTAAGGATCAGGTGTTTGATCACTTCAAATTATTCCATGCCATGGTAGAAAGAGAAACAGGGAAGAAGCTAAAGTGTCTACGTTCAGACAATGGAGGAGAGTACACTTCCCGGGAGTTCTCAGCATATTGTGCCGCATACGGAATCAGGCATGAGAAGACGGTTCCACGAACTCCACGGCACAATGGTGTAGCCGAATGAATGAATCGAACCATTGTAGAGAAAGTTCGTTGCATGTTGAGTATGGCTAAACTACCTAAGCCACTCTGGGGTGAAGCTGTGCTGACAGCTTGTTATCTTATAAACAGGTCACCTTCTGTTCCTTTAAACTTTGAAGTGCCAGAGAAGAAATGGTCAGGAAGAGACGTTTCTTACTCTCACTTGAAAGTGTTCGGGTGCAAGGCATTTGCACATGTGTCCAAGGAGTTGAGACAGAAGCTGGATCTCAAGTCAAACCCATGCATCTTCATCGGCTATGGAGATGGAGAATTTGGATACCGGTTGTGGGATCCCGAATTGAAGAAAGTTGTACGAAGCAGAGATGTTGTAATTCATGAAAATGAGTTTCATGGGTGTGCTCCAATAATCCGCCAACAACATACTCTCAGAAGACGAAGTCGCTGTATCATCAAGCATTCCTCTGAGCGACGAGGAGATGCATGGTGCTGCTGAACAGGACAGTGATGGTTCAGTAGATGATAATGATGCTCATAGTGATGATATTCCTCAGCAGGGGGAGCCTTCATCTCAAGACAAAGCTGAAGGTAATCATGTTCGACATTCTATTCGAGACATAGTTCCACAGAGAAAGTATTCCACATCTGATTGGATACTTGTTACTAGCGAGGGGAGCCAGCGAGCATCGCAGGAATGAGAGAAACCAAGAAAAAGGTGGGGGGGGGGGAGATTTTTCGGGTTCTTCCACCCTCTTTCTTGGAAGTTTCCAAGAGGCATCTCACACCTTCTTGGAAGAAGCTCTCCAACACATGAACATGGGAGAAGATTGCTTGGAGATAGCTAGGAAACTCCCTAGTAATGGGAATGGAAGCTAGGATGTAATTTCCTCATGTCTCCTCATATGCACCTATAAATAGGGAGTGTATTGTTCATTATCATCAGTTTAGAAAGTGAGAAAAGTGTGTGAAGAGTGAAATACACTTAGAGTAGAAGTGTATTGGTGAGGATTGGTTTTTTGTAATAGTTGAGTGTAAGCGTTTGCTCCTCCTTTTGTAATTCTGTTCTTGATATTGAGTAGAAGAATTTTCCAATCCCAACATTGATATCAGAGAAAACGAGTGAAGATTGATCGAAGAAAAGCTCTGTTTTACGTTTTTCACAGTTTTCAATTTTTTGATCTCTCTCCTGTTTTTGCTCGAAAACTAAAATAGGAATACTCGTGGAACCGCCCGATCAAAACAGGCAGTTACTTCTTCATTTTCATTTGCATCAGATTTGCAGGTTTCTCGAGTTTTCTCTGTTTTTTGAGCACATGACATTTTTCGAACTGCAGAAGGTTTTCTCAAAAAGATAATTTTGAAGAACAGGTTTTTAGCAGCTGAAGGAATTTGGAACTACAAACAAGCAGGAAATTTTCTAAGGATAGTTCTTAAAATATCAGTTTTCAAACACTTCAATTTTTGAATCTCTATCTTCGAAGATTAATTGTCAGACCTTATTTTTCGAAGTTTGAGTTTTCGAAGTTTACTTTTCGAATTTCAGCTTCTCGAACTCTTTTTCGAACCCTCAATTTTCGAACTTTGGTTTTCGAACCCTCAATTTTCGAACTTTGGTTTTCGAACCCTGCTTAAGTTTTTCTCGATCAACCACTCGACGGTTAGTTCTAACAGCAAAATGGACACACTATCTCTCGATAACGAAAGCAGACCACCAATTCTTTGGACAGGAGAGAACATCTGATGTGACGAAACAGACTCCTCAATTTTCTGGAAAGCAAGGACAATTCCTCTGCTATGCTTCAATATATGAACGAAGGACCCGTTGAGCTTTGGATGATAGTCGGAGGAGATGATGAGAACACCCCTCTGGTTGAACCAGAAAGAAGAGTGAATCCCCGAAAGAATATGATGACGCTGACAGACTAAAATACACAGAGACCCTTGGGTTTCTATGTATTTTATAACTATGAAAGTATGATTTGATTTAGTTTTGTGTGGTCTAATAAAGTTTGGTGCTGGTCTGAAAACAGTCCAAAGTAAAAATAGACATTATAAGGATAAACATGAGATTTCACAAAACAATCATAAGGATAAAACTCAAAATAGACATTATTATCCTTAGCAAATTGACTGTCTGACTAACATTGATTAGATTCTTGGTTATTGCAAAAACATGGAGAATATTTTTGAGAGAAAGAGAAATAGAGGACTAATAAGGGGAAGGAAAGGAAGTAAAACCAATAAACATGATATCTAAACCTTGATCATTGCCCATTAAGAGCTTATCAGTTGTGGTAATAGGTTTACAATGCTAAAGGTTAAGAGGATCTGCAGTAACATGATGAGTAGCTCCAGAATCAGGGAACCAAGTTTGGGATTGTGGATGAGGTCCTAGAATATATGTGTTTGCATTGGCCCAAGCAGCAGTAGGTTGATGTTGTTGATGTGCAGGAGATGGTGAAGTATGATAAGGTGGTGTCTGATCCCAGTTGATTTGTGGCTGAGGATAATGCATTGGTTATAGGAGTGTGAGGGTGCATAGTTTGAAGCAGCATAAGAAGGATTGTAGATATGATAGCATATCAATGCATGGTGGCCTGGTTTTCCACAAACTTGACATGTAAAAGAATTGAAACCTCCAAATCTTCCACCTCTTCCTTGTGTGAAACCTCCACGACCTCTTCCTCGGTAAGAATTAGGGTTACCATTGTTGTCAAACTGAGCGACCTGAACAAAGGCATTGTCCGAGGTATTTTCACTGAAAGACTAATTAGTTGTGGATGAAACCTCCAATCGAGCAACATTAGCAGACAGTAGGTTCGTCTGAGATGATTCACGAAGCTTTTGCAATCGTACCTCTTTGGCAGACAAAAGAGATTCAACTTCCGACAATGTTGGAGGATCGAGAATACTGCAAGAGGAAATGGACGAGGCTAGAGATTCATATTCCTTCGTCGTAAGCCTTCGTGAATCACATTAATGTGTTCCTCAGCAGATATCGGTTCGCTAATTGACAAGAGATTGTCAACGATGGTTTGGATTCGAAGGAGATACTCAGAAATAGTATGATCACCTTTCGCAGTGGTATATAGTTCAGACTTCAGTTGTCTGGCATTCGCGACAATGCTTGCCCTGAAGAAAATGTTGATCTTATTCAAGAGCTCATACAAGTGTCTGCAATGGATCACACGTGCATGAAGTGCTTCAGATAGAGATGCAAGCAACCACAAAAACAACATTTGATCTTGTTGCTCCTAGACAACATATAATTCATTCTCAATTCCTGCTTCTTCATCATTAGAGACAAATTGTTTCAGAATTTCTGGTTTGATGATGAACCGGAGGAGTTTATGTGCACAAACGATTGATTCAACATGATGCTTCCAAGTTATTAGCATCAAGTTTGATCGGAAGTTGATGTGCGAAAGTTATTAGGGAAGAGGAATATGTGGAAGTAAAAGAGGTAGAGTCGGATGACACCATTGATGAATCGATCCAGAGCTAGAGCTCTGATACCATAATAGAAAGAGAGGAAGAGGAAGATTGTATTGAATGTAAAACAGAATCAACTTGATACAAATGAATAGAATACAAGTATTTATAGGATTAGTGAAGTCAGTTGACTTCAAATAATACATAGTATTATTTGAACTTACGATTATCAACTAACCACAAGAAGATAATTTCATAACCGTAACCGTACAGTGAACAACTTTTTCGTTCCAGTTGGTTAACCATACCATGAGTTTTAAAAATTCCAATTTGATTGACCGCGAAAACATCAATTTTTCAGTTTGATTAATCGATTATTTCAACAAAGTGGACCTTCACTTTGACGATGGAAGTTATCTTATAGATGCTCTATTCATGTAGGTTCAAAATGCAAATCTATCTTTATGCCCACCCCTACTTTCAAGTTTCAACTGCCCAAAACCAGACAAAACCACACCTGATGAACAATGTCCAAAGTCGAAGCCGTACACGCAACTCCAATTAAGGTGCGCTTTACAGCCCGTCCAGAATTGGAACCTATTGCCGAAATGCCTAATGCACACACTGTGTGCCACACAGGAAGTGGTATAATTGTATAAATAGTGAATTTGATGATGATCCGATGTTAATAACTGATTCTAAACAGCTAGTCTTGGGAATTTCTGTTTATATGCAGAACAAATCTAAAGAAGCTATGTAAGAGCGATAAGTCTATAGAAACAATAGGATTCAATATTGTATGAGGTCATGAGGATCCAAACACACCCTTAGAGAAATTGAGGGTGATACTGTACAAGTTCAAAGATGATGACCGAGAATTATCCTCTATGAGATACAAGACAATTAACAATAGAGATGTAAAATTTACCACCAAATTTAAAAGGCATATTTTCTGAAAACATAATATTTGATGGGCTGCAACATTTGATGGGCTAACTTAATAAAGTATAACACACAATTCACTTCACATGTGATGCTGAAAACATATGCATGCAACTTTCACGAGCCATAATATTTGTCATCCATAATCTGTCTCCAAAGAAAGGTTTGATGGGCTAACTTAATAAAAACCAGAACAGCCTTTCGTTAGTTCAACTTCTGTTTCTTGGCAATGTGATCAAGTGCCAACTGCTCTAAGACGTAAACAACATGACCCATATCAACTCGATTATTGGGATCCAGCTCCAAACATTTCAATGTCAACTCGGTGATTTTATATGCATCCGCATCATTCACCTGAAAATCTCCATTCACAAGAATATGATTGTTTTTAAAGTCCTGCAATGCAAATTCACTTGCGCTACTATAATTGCCATTTCCATAATACTCTTTCCTTATCAGGAGGGAGAGTACAGAACCATAAGCAAAAACGTCTGATTTACAAGTCCATGTATCTGCACGAGTTCAACAACATAATTAGAAGTTGCTGGAAACAAATCTCATAGATAAGAGACTTAAAGCTTATATCAACAAATGGAACACGACTTGGTTATAGCTAACCAAAAGAATGGTCTAATGTCATACTCCTTCAGTCCTTCCGTCCTGATTTACATGTCTGGTTTAGGTTTGGCATACTAATGAATAAAGTGGTTGAAAAACGAAAATTAAGGTTGCTGTTTTAGTATGAACCACATATTTCTTGTCATCAAAAGAACATGACATTCGTTTTGGGACACACCAAAATAGAAAACAAGACACATAATTAAGGACAAAGGGAGTATGTTTGTTTGTATCTGTATGTTATGCGGATGTAGGTGGCTCACATGACATATAAATATGGCGGAATGTAACATGGAGGGGAATCTTATAACCACCCATGCCTTAGGTTATCTTACATTCCCAACGATGGTGTAATTTTCTTCCGAAAATATCCTCAATTAATTATCTCTTTTCATTTAATTTCTTTATATAGTGTGGTTTTATAAAACTTTTAATGTAATTTCTAAATATGTAAATTATATTTACTAAAAAATAATCTTATTATTGAAAGAGATCAGTTAATTTAATGGTCAGCCGATCGTAGATTGGGTGACAACCATTTAAGTAGGACAGATGGAGTATGTTTATTTAATTATATTCGAATGTCTATTCTTGTTATTTTTCATAATTCTTTTTTTTCTAAACATTTAAAGTTTTTAAGGTATTTATTTTAAAAGACTTATAGATTATTTAAGTTTTTGACGAATGGATTTCAAAATTTAATGGCAAAATTTATAAATTTTTCTCTAATTTGAAAAGAAGTTTTATGAATAACTTGAACATTTCTTAAATTTGATTTTTTTAATAATAAATATATTTAGATTGAACAAAAAAAAATTTCACTTGAATTGGATCTACAACTTTTTACAATTAAACATGGTTTACTTAAAAATAATTCAATTAGGTTTGATTTTATTTATTATTAAGACATTTCAATTTTTCTTTAATCTTAATCACTTTAGATGTAGGTTGTAATAGATTTATTGTGTTAAGATTTATTTTGAAGGGTATTGAATTAATTTACCATATCTGCAATATAAGATATCTTTCAACTAAATAAATTAATATCACATTCCCTTAATCTTAACCAAACACAAATGGGAATAAATTGGATACATTCTCATCAATCTAACATACCCAGTAATCTGACATTCCCACAGTAATCTGACATTCCCTGAACCAAACATACCCGGAGTTTTATCATTAATGGAGGAGTACTCTATTGTCATACTAGTTGGTTTCTATATTTAAATGAATACATTAACTTGTATGCACAGGAGTAAAGAGTACGCTATATTACATTTAATATTCATAAGCACATAAACTCGGTCTTTTAACGTCAATGAGTACATCTGCTAGATTAAGACGCTAATATGGTTGAGTTGGCTGACAGAATACTGAATTTTGCCACCGCTTCTATGCCGTCTCAGCATCACCGTGAACTGACCTGATAGAAAGCAAGAGATGGGCTACTAGGAATTTAGCATAGGCCCCCGCAGGTTTACTAAAGGCGGCGACGGGCTTGAGCCCATGAAGGCCCACATTCGTGGGCTGGTTGCAGGCCGTTTAATTAATTTTTATTCTTTACAATTTTCTTGAATTGTTTCCTATTTGGAGTTAATTAGGATTTGTATTATTTGTTTCGTAATTGAAGTTAATTAGGATTTCAATTATTTATTTCCTATTTGGAGTTAATTAGAAGCTTTATTATTTTGTTTCCTATTTGGAGTTAATTAGGAGCTTTATTATTTTGTTTCCTATTTGGAGTTGATTAAGATTTCTATGATTTTGTTTCCTAGTTTGGGAATTAGTAGATGAATATTTAAACTCTTTGTTTTGATTCATTCTTGCTTATCAGTTAATAAATATGGATTTCAGAACACTGGCTTTGGGCAACGGTTTCCGCTATTGATTATTACTGGCCAACTGTCTCTACCAGTGATTATTATTTTCTATTCTCATCAATTGGCCGGACCTGCCGGAACCCGTTCCCGTCGGAATAACGAGATCTCACAGCGATCGTTTGACGGAGTTGGCGAATCAGAAACTTGACGCGCAAGAGCAGAAGCTAGACACGCAAGGAATCCAACTTGCGAAGATCGCAGCCTTTGTGGCGGCGCTCAGAAAGGCGCCTGCACTGCCGGAGGTGAAGGAGCTTTCATCGGCTGCATACTCCAGCGTCGCAGCATCGGCGCATACTTGCGACAGTGGTTCGCACAGCACCGCGCTCTCCTTGCTGCAAAGACCCTATAGGTTGGGTGGCTAGGGTTGAACAGCAGTTTGAACTAAATGAGATCCCATCCGAAAGAAAAGTGGCAACAGCTGTTGTTGACATGGAAGGAGCTGCCCTATATTGGGTGACTTGGTTGAAAGCGTGGAAATGAGACATGGCCCAGGAGGAATTCACACAAGCACTGGTGGCTCGGTTCGACTCCCGGTTCAAGGGCAGCCAGTCTGAACGGTTTTCCGGGGTCAAATAGATGGGTACACTGGAGGAATACAATACCCTATTCGTTCAATTGGCCAACCGGATTCCCGAGCTGTGTAATGATCATTATCTGAAAGGGCCACTTTGAGGATCCTCACGATTGTTGCAGCCAAATAGTCTGGAGATAGCAATGTAATTGGCCAGAGATGTTGAGGACAATCTGTCCTTTCAGAATGTAGGCCAGGAAGCCCATCCTATAATACAGAATTGCGTTTAGGCAAATTTTCACGACCAAGTGGGGATAACAGCACAAGCATGATTGATGGCAGCATAAGGGAATCGAGTGGCAGCTTTCCTTAAGATACTGGGCAGCCTCCGAGGACAAATGTGAGCCAGTTTACAGATTTCAACTTTGAGGACAAGGTTGTTTCAAAGGGGGGATGGAATTGATAGAAAGAACGAGATGGGCTTGGAGGAAGAGAGGCTGAGGCCCCCATAGGCTCACTGAAGGTAGGGACAGGAAGAGAGGCTAAGGCCCCCATAGGTTCACTGAAGGTGGGGACGGGCTGGTTGCGGACCGCAGAGTTCCCTATTACTATCGGAGTGCACCAGGGATTTGCTCTGAGTCCTTTCTTATTTGCTATAGTCATGGACGAACTTACGAAGTCAATTCAAGAAGATATACCGTGGTGCATGATATTTGCCGACGATATTGTATTGATTGATGAGACGCAATCCGGTGCTAAAGCAAAGTTGTAAGTATGGCGACAAACATTAGGGACCAAGGGTTTCAGACTGAGCTGAAGCAAGACTGAGTATATGGAGTGCAAGTTTGTGGAGGTAGAAATAGTAGCAACAGTGGGATTACTCTTGATGGTAAGGAGATAGCAGTGTGTGATATGTTCCGTTACTTTGGCTCCAAAATTCAGAAGGATGGTGAATTAGATGGAAATGTATGTCATGGAATCAGAGCTGGATGGATGAAATGGAAGAGTGCATCAAGATTTATATCTAATCAAGGTATGCCGACTAGACTGAAAGGTAAATTTTATCGAACATCAATTAGACCTGCATCAATGTATGGTATAAAATGTTGGGCGGTGAAGTTCAAAAGATGAGTGTGGCAGAAATGTGTATGTTGCGTTGGATGTGTGGACATACCAGAAAAGATAAGATGCAGGAGTCTCATTTGTAGGGGCGGGCAAGAATCCCGGTCCCGTTGTCCCATTCCGGTATATCCCGAAACCCTACCGGTGTTGTCCCGTTCCGTTTGGGTCTCATTGATTTTGTCCCGCACCGGTCCCGTACCGAGTTCAAACGGGACGGGACCGGGACATTGGAAGGTTATCCTGAACCGTCCCGTTGTCCCGTTTGTAATAACTATATAGATTTTGTAGCATGTGACTAGTTTGCAATGTCAACTCAAAAAATAAATGATAACATGTTTTTAGTTTTCAAGCCCAATTTTTAAATTAAAAATAATACCTAAAATAAATATTTACTAACATAGGTTTTTATCTCACTTTATATATCTAAATATGAGTATCTCACAACTAGAACAAATGATTCTGAATAAAATAATTCATTTCTGTTTCGTTTTAAATTTAAATTTCAAATTTTGCTAAACCTAACTAAAATCTAATACGTAGTAGCTTTTAGCTTGTGATGAACATCAATTAACTTTTAAAATGTTAATATTTTGGTGCATGATACTTAAGAAATGCTAATATATATTAATTACAAATGATTATTTTTTGTTAGTTTGGGACGTCTCGAACCGTCCCGAACCGTTCCAAATCATCTTGGTCCCGATTTAAATGGGACAAGACTGGGACAAAGGCTTATCTCGTACCGTACCATCCCGTTATTATTAATTGGGACGGGACCGGGATAACCCTAATCCCGAACCGTCCCGACTCATGCCCACCCCTACTCATTTGTGGTGGTTTAGGCATGTACGTAAAAGACTGAGTGATGCACCCGTTAGACGACTTGAGTGGTGGGGAGAAGAGGTAGAGAAGAGAGGGAGGAGAAGACCTAAACAGACTTAGATTAGAAGAATCAGAACTGATATGCGTCTTCTTGAGTTGAATGAGAGTATGACTTTGGAGATATCAAAGTGAAAGGTGCACATGCGTGTGGACGATGGATATCTTTTCTACCTTTCCTCTATATTTTCTTTTATCTTCTTTATCTTTTTATATTCTTATGTTATTTTTATCTTCTACCTTTTAAATGATCTTTTATCTTTTTATCTTTTATCTTTTTATCTTTTATCTTTCTTATACTCTTAGGTTACAGGATTATTCCTGTCCGCAATTTTCGGACAGGAGCCCCGTCCGGCCTCCTCCGTTTGGGGCGGTTCCCAATGGTATTTTTTGTTTGATTTTTTTGTATGTTATTCATCAACTCTAGTTTATTCATACCAAATTTCAGCTAAAAATTTAATCGGGAAGGCAGTCAAATCATTTTTGGAAGTTAACTGTGTTTTATATATGTATATAAAGTGCGCAGCTAACTTCCAAAAATCATTTGACTGTGTTCCTAATTGAACTTTTAGCTGAAATTTGGTATGGATAAATTAGAACTGATGAAGAACATGCAAAAAAAAAAAATTGAGCAAAAACTACCGGCAGAAATTGCCCCAAAAGGAGGAGGCCGGACGGCGCTCCGGTCAGGAAATTCCTGACCGTTAGATTACTCCTTATGTTATTGTTATCTTCTATTTATTTATCTTTATTTTATTCCTTTTATCTTACTTTGTTCTCCCTTTCTTGTCCGTCTTCTCTGTTTGGCATCGATATCATAGATCAATTCATGTTAAGCAGACCCCGAATTCTTTTGAGATTAAGGCTTGGATGTTGTTGTAGAATTTTCCTGATTTGTTTTTATTTGGAGTTAATTAGAATTTCAACTATTTGCTTCAGGAGGGGAGTATTGATAGAGATTCGGTCCATGCTAATAAGGAAGACAAATATTATGGCAGAGTTTATTCTAGAAGGAGGAAGTAGTATAGCTGTTATTTCATTAAACAACTTTGTAACTACTTTCTGTTAGAGGGTTGACTATAAATAGAATAATAATATGGGGAACCGGGAGACAGACTGTTTTCTGAGACTTTAGTCTTGACTGGGAAGATTGAGTATTAACTCTTTCTTTGGGAACTCTGTACTTTGGCTTACTTACATCAATAAACTGTCCATTTTGTTCTTGAACTTCCTATCTCTTTTCTGTTTGGATTCCTGTTAGAATTACTGTTCTGGATCTGGGAGATTCTATCAAAGTTATGATTTCATTTCATTTTCACCAGTGCCGCAAAGGCTCGCACCTACGGTGGGGTAAGGGGGGTCGGATGTACGCAGTCTTACCCTTGTACTAAAGTACAGAGAGACTGTTTCCGAATGATCCATACTGAAAATCGCGTCCAAAATTGCATGGACTGACTGCTGCTTCATAACAAAGAAGCGCAGACAGTTTAGTAAGTCATTTTGCTTTATTCCATCGTATTCTCAAGCCAAAAAATAATGAATCTTTGGCTCCATTGCAAATGATGGAAATAATGCAAGTTATGATGCAAAAAAAATTACTACTCCTCATTCCCAATTCAGCATATAAAGATCCTAAGGATTCATGCCTGATTCATCTTCTGCAGCGGCAAATTGAGCATAAGACATTTTGAGATCACCTGTAGCTTCTCCTTTTCTGGAGTCCAATACACACCTGGTGAGACCCAACTCAAAAAATGCTACATTATATTCCTGCATATGAAAGAAAACTTGTTGAACCCCAAATAAGAAATTGATTTATAAATTTATTCAATATAAAGTAATAATAACAATAATAATAATAATAATAATAATGAGAAATACAATAGCATATCCACCAACAACCTCATCTACCAAAATTGAATCAGCAGAGATAGCACCAAGTATGATGTGTTTTGCATGCAACCACTCCAAAAACTTTGCTAGTTGAAGTGCCACCTTCATTCGCTCATCCCAATCAAAGTTATCTAAATTACGTGATGATAACATAAGCGTCAAAACATTCAAATGTATTTACAACAGTGCCTAGGTAGAGAAAGTAACTACCAGACTTTAGCAACTGAGACAAGACTTTATTAGCTTTCCCGTCATATACTACTGCAAGCTTCTTTTCGAGGCAATATCCAATCATATTCACGAAATTATCATGTCCTCCCAACTCCTTTTGAAAAAGTAGCTTCATTTCAGCCTACCATACAAAGCTTCAATTACTAGATACCATATAAATCTGAATCCCTTTTTTACTCAAGCACATGTTTTAAGGGAAAAAATTGCACATACATAGAATGTAGAAGGATACACCGCATAGTAAGCATTGCCAACACCAGAATGTGTTCGGTAAAAATCCCATGTCTTCACTAGCACTTGTCGGTTTCTTGAGCCTTGCTGAACAATAGTGCCTCTGTACAAGCTCCCAAACAAAGTATTCACAATAAAGTTCTCTCTCTTGAACCCATTTGTTATCTCGTTCAACATAGGGAAGTCATAATATTTTACATTATCCAAGTCCCTGCCTGCAATTTTGTTTCTAAGAGATGCATTTATGATGAGTAGATTAGACAACAATGTAATGATAGAAAAGCAATCAATAGTAAACTAATCACTATCATGAAAAACAGAAAAATTTGAAGTTGAAGATATGAAATGCAGTTAGAAAATTAGAAAATGCTATTAGTACAATAAGTTTATTTGTACAATAAGTTTACTTTTATAACACTTTTTTTCAAACCGGGGAGGTTTTTTCAAACGCGCATGATTTTGTTTGTGTGATTTTACGTCATCCTAAGGACGAAATATACTGTCTGTGTAAAGCATTGTTTCTAATTGCGCAATGCAATTGCGCCTCATGGTGCGCCTCAGCTAATTCCTGGACTATGGCGTAAAAGGCATTGCATATGGCGTTGGGAGTGTGACCTACGCAATATTGCACTGTGGCGTACGCAATATTGGATACGCAATAAGGCGCTCTGAGGCGTACGCAATAAGAGGTCAGGGTGTAAGGGTATTATTTGGGCCCACTCGACCCACTTTTAAATTTTTATAATTGATCTTATGATCCCTATTTCAAACCAATAGTTATTGATTGAATTTTTCAGTCAATCAATATAATTAATTTAAATTTTCATATCTAAGATTTTTGTTTTGATAAATGATTCAGAATGTTTTGGTATTCTATGGTACTTTGAAGTTTGAACATGTTACTTTGCTTGGCCTCTTATGGTTTGTTTTAATATAACATTTGATGACTTTTGATGAATATGTTTATTTTTTATTATGTTTATATATATATATATATATATATATTACGCCTCATCTATATGCCTCATTGCGCAATGAGGCTTACGCAATATGCAATATTAAAAAAATGCCACGACTACGCAATTCGCAATTTCGAACCTTGGTGTAAAGTAAAGCAAAAACAATTGTGTGAACAAAATCTTTTTCTAACAGACTAATGTAACACAACCAAAACATTGTTTTTGCAGAAAAAAAACTTGTCTGCCTGAAAACACATTGGGGTAGAAATATGTTGTACACCTAGCATGATTGTGAAATTAAACCTCTCAATCTTGGCACCCTTGAAAAAGCCTAACAACCCATTTTACTACAACCTGCAAGGCCAAGTTATAGGGGGTTTATTAGGTTCTTTGGAACAGTGCCCAAGAACTATTGGGGGCCTGGAGCCTCAATTTTTAACAATCATTATTAGTAGTATAGTATGAAATTTTAGATTCATGTCTTTTAAAATTCTTGTATGTTTTAATAAACATCTTTATGTTTTTAATTAATTCTCTTATATGTTATGAATAGTTTATTGTGCTCAAGTGTTTTATGTATCTTTGTATATGTGTAATAAACAAATTAGTTACTACGTATTAAATAATGGTTCAGCTTAATATTAGGGCCCATTTACCTTTGTAATACATAATTAATTCTCTCATCTACTCTCAGCTGTTCTATTATTATCATTGATTGTTGGATTGTTGAGGTTTTAAATAACAGTTTTTTACATTGAAGGAAAGATTTTCTTAACTTTTCAATTAGTTGAAGCCCTACAAACAAACTTTTGTATATTGATACACTGAGTGTATATTCAGTTCATTTTTATCTTGCTTAAAACCTTTGCTTTTAGTATTATCTCACTTTTTTATAAGATGGGGCCTCATCAATATGATATCTAAACCAGGCCTCTCCAAATCATTAAACGGCCATGGCAGCCTGTTGTGGTCAGCTTCTTCTGGCATGTCTGAGGTCTGAGGATGAATGGTTATTGGAGGGCCAAACAAAAGCATTAACCACATGAAGGAGAATAAAGCATATATTTTCAAGCAGATTCAGACCTTCACAGAGACGGACTACAATAGAAAAAGTTCCCTTTTCCACATGCGTTCTAGGGTTCGTAAGAAAACAGAAGATTGCAGATCAACAAAAATGAACTTAACGAAAAAAAACTGTAATTAATCCCAGCAAGCATCCAGAAAAACATACAGGTAAAAGTCAATTCAACATGTCAAATAAGTTAAATATATCGCAACACGAGGGATGAGGTTAAACTTAAGAGAATACTCTGGTTGACAAGGGCACGTACATTTCACGAAATGATTCTGCATTTGTCCTGAACTGTTTGAATAGAGGATCTAGATTTAAGTACTTATAAAGCGCAGGATTAGGCATATAGGGAGATTTCAAGATGTTGTCCTCTTGATAGTAGTAAGGTTCGTAACGCAACGCTTCCAATTCGGTCAGAAATTGTTGAGGCGCTTCTTGTTCTGCCATCGTTGAGATGAAAGGAGAGGCTCTTTGCGCTTTCCGATCAGACGAAAGTGAATGGTTATGTTTTTTTCCCAAATATGACCAAAAATAGGAAAAAAAAGAATTTTTCATTATATTAATATGTTGAAGGACAAAAATACATTTTTTAAAAAAATTTGCATTTTACACTAATTCCGTCCATTATTACTCCATCCTAAATATATCTATCATTGTTTTCTAATGTGATCCCGTCATGAATTCAAAGTTTACGAAAAAATATCTAAAGCTTTACTACCAAAAAAGGAACAAATGTATGATTGTATGAGTATACATGTAATTGGTTTTGAGGTATACCTTGGGCACTACTATACATGTTCTCCGTAATTGGTTTTGAGGTATGCCTTGGACACTTGTAGCACATAGGGATGCACAGGTTCCGGGCCACCCGAACAGGGCCCGGCCCGGCCCGGAACCGGTCATAGCACCGGTCTGGGTGGACCGAACCGAGAATTACACGGGGCGGGCTCAGGCCTCCGAAAAGTGGAACCGTCCCGGCCGTGGCTGGTCCGGGCCTTCAGCGGCCTTTTTTTTTTATTTTTTTTTAAATTAAATAGCATCCTAGCCGTTGGGACTGATCCCAAACGGCTCTATAGCCGTTGGAGGCTTAGGAGGGGGTCCTAGGGGTTTTTGGGCTGTGGGGGGATACAAAAAAAAACTATTTATACTCCTATTTTCTATACATTTTTTTACACCTCTTCTCTATTCTCTCACTCTCAAATCTTAATCATCTTCATCTTCTCCAATTCTCTCTACACATATTTATTATTTATATAATTATTATATCTACTTATATATATTAATTATCTACTATAAATACATATATTATATTACTAATATTTATTATCTACTTAAAATATACTTATTATCTACTTAATATTTACTTGATATCTATTTATTATCTATACTTATTGTTATTTACTTATATTTACATATTACATTTAGTTAATATATACTTATATATATATATATATATATTAAAGTATTACATATAAGTGTATTACTCATATGGGAGCGGTTCCGGTAAGAACAGATCTTAGGAGAAAAATGAGAACGAATCTGGACCGTTGGATTGTATTATGTGGAACCAAATTGTGCATTTGGTGAAACTGAAATGTGCATTAAATGATATTGAAATGTGCAAAATAATAATTTAAACTCAAGTGTGCATTAGATGAAACTGATATGTGCGAAAAAAAAGTACAAAAATAACATCACAACGTACTTTTTATTCTGCACATTTCAGCTTCACCTAGTGCACATTACAAATTCACGTAATGCACAATTCAACTGCACATAATGCCACTCTATCGTACCCTTTGTGATGCACATTTCAATTTCACGTAATGCACATTACAGTTTCATCTAATGCACACTGAATTTCACTTGAAGCAAATCTAACGGTCCAGATTCGTTCTCATTTCTCTCATAAGATCGTGTTCTTATTTGAATCAAAACCTTACTCATATTATAGTAATATACTTATATATTAGATACTATAAACATTATACTCCCTCCGTCCCAATATAAAAGGCACAATTTCCTTTTCGGTCCGTCCCAATATAAAAGGCACATTTCCCTTTATGGCAAACAAAACAGTGCCAAACAGTGCCAAACAGTGCCAAACAGTGCCAAACAGTGTTCAAACAGTGTTCACCCTTAAAAACTCCCCAAACGCAAATGTGCCTTTTATATTGGGACGGAGGGAGTATTATATATTAGTTGTACAATTATTATATCTACTTTTATACTTATTATCTACTTATAAATATAAGTGTACTACACATGTGGAAGGAGAAGAACCCTAGAGCTTCGGCGTGATCAGATCTATGGAGAAGGCGGCTGTGTGGGCCGCTCCGGCCGGTGGGACAGGAGCGGCAATGCGTTCTTTTGCGGAAGTGCTGGCAGCGAACAAGGAGATATTGTTAAAGGTGCCGTTTAGGCACAAGGGAATGCAGGCAGTTCAATTTTTTATGATGAAATTTCGATCCTGGCGGATCAACACAAATTCGCACTGGTAGGGTCTTTTGTTAGAGGAAGGCCGCCAATGCTTACTTTAAGGCAGGAATTTGACAAGATCGGCTTTAGAGGTCCTATTTCGTTAGGATTATTGGACCATCGTCATGTTCTTATCAAGTTTTCGTTGGAGGAAGATTTTCAACGTTGTTGGCTTCGTCAATCATGGAGCATTAAAGGTTTCAAAATGAGGGTTTCAAAGTGGACGCCAGATTTCCAGCCGGATGTTGAGTCCCCTATAGTACCGGTCTGGATCAACTTTGACGGATTACCTATACATATGCATGATAAGCGGGCGTTGTTCTCAATTGCAGGAATGATTGGGAAACCGCTTAAAGTAGATGCGGCAACGGCTAATCTCACTAGGCCGTCAACGGCAAAGGTTTGTGTAGAACTAGACTTGCTACAAGAAATACCTATGAAGGTATTAATTATGCATGGATCAAGAGAAATTATCCAAATAGTGACATATGAGGACCTGCCAACTTATTGTGTGCAATGCAATAAGGTGGGTCATAGCAAAGGGGAGTGCGGAGTGCTTAAGCGATTGGATGGGCCAACTAAGGAGGGCCCCAGCAAGCAGCTGAGGGTGGGGAAACCTTTAGCAAAAAATAAGGATATTGCTAAGCAAACATTGGTGGTATCGAATGCTAAGGAGCAGTGGGTCCAGGTGGGGAAAAAAATAAAGGGAAGGCCAAGGTGGGGGACACCTTGGACAAGGCAGAAACGTCCCACCAGGGTGGGCTGGCTAAGCATAAGGAGACAGAGGTTATTCATGAGGTCCTGGACCAGACACAAAATGAGACAGAATTAGTGAATAAGGAGAGAGTTACTGAAAATGCAATGGTTGAAAATGAATTGAGGGAAGCAGGTATCCAAACTGAAGAGGGGGAAATTACCACGATGGAGATACACAAGGACACACTGGAGGATCTTCCGGTTAATAATGTGACCAATGTTACTCAGCTTATAGCATTTGAAGAGGGTAGTATAGGCTTGGAAGACAGTCAGGAGGATGTTAGTCAGGAGGGGTATGAATCAGAAGGGGAGAGGATATGTGTTGAGGAGAATACCAAATAATACTGGAAGGAGGTTTGTGGCGAATTGCAAAGGAAGGTGGAGCTTATTGTACAAAACAAAGCGGAGGCTATTGAGGTGCAGAGAAGAAAAATCAAAGAGAATATTCCTCCTCGATCGGTCACTACGAGACTGGCCGCCAAGAGGAATTCAAGGGACACTCATTCTGAGGTTTCCTTATGAAGATGCTTACATGGAATCTTCGCGGACTAGCCTCATCGTGCCCAAGGCTAGGAGAAATTATTAGGCACCATTGTATTGATTTTGTTACTGTGATTGAGCCTCTGGTGGGACAAGACCAAGGCGATCACTTCAAAGATAGTTTGGGTTTTTCCAGTTTGTTTATGTCAAATTCAAATAAGATTTGGTTACTTTGGAATAATCAATCTTTTGCTGTTTCATCTATTTCTGAAGAAGACCAGTTTATGCTGGTTAAGATGAAGTTTATGCCTATGGATTTTGATTTTACTTTCTCACTGGTTTATGGTTTACATACGAGGTTGGATAGGGCCAGAATGTGGGATGGGTTGGTGGCTTTTGCTCAAAGGGATAAGTCAGCCTGGGTGTTGGGAGGAGATTTTAACATTATTGCCTCTTTATCTGAATATAAGGGTCGCTCAGCCCCTCGTATGAATGAGATAATTGACTTTCAAAATTGCATAGAGGATTGTGCACTCTATCAGTTACCTACAATTGGGACTGTCTACACCTGGTCAGGTATGAGGTCAAATGGTAGAGTGTGGGAGAAGCTGGATCGTTACTTGGTTAGTCAGGCATTTCTCTCAACTTTTGAAACGGTTAAAACTCAGCATCTTAGTAAAACTCCATCTGATCATTGTCCTTTACTTCTAATGTGTGACCTTGCATTCGATTAGGGTCCAAGGCAGTTCCGTTTTCAAAACATGTGGTTTTCTAATGATGGTTTTTTGTCCTTTGTGAGAAAAAAGTGATTGGATTACCCAACGGCTGGGGGAATGAGAGGTCTGTGTGCTAAGCTGCGTGCTTTAAAGAGTGATTTGAAAAAATGGAATAGGGAGGTTTTTGGGGATATTTTTGGGGAGGCTAAGAGGCTGGAGATAAAAACAAGCTGATAGGTACATAGATTTAGTAACAATAGATCAATCAATATTATTGAGCTCAAAAGGTTGAAACGATGAAGACGATACAAGACAGGGCACTTCGAGAGGCCTCTACTCTCCAGAACCGAATTCCCAATTCTAAAATCTGCCTGCCTTATTATTTCTCCCTCCCTACTATTTATACTAACTTATGGGTCAGCCCAATATTAACTAATACCTAGCCCAGGACCCTTTATTACAACATCACAATTATTTATTATACTTCTATTATTATTAGTATTATTATACTAATGGGTCCCTATCATATCTCCCCCCTTGAAAACCCACCTTGTCCTCAAGGTGGGTGATAGGAACCGGCCTGGACTTTCAGCTGAATCTTCATCCTTGCGCCTCTCCCCTCCCAGTACAAGACTGATTGTTGGACTGAGTTCTTCCATGCTGGAATCGTCTTCCTTACTTCCTCCAGTAATAGCCTCAATATATTCCCTATCTTCAGAGCATCAGCACCACTGAGATGGATTTGTTCATGTTGGCATTGAGTTTTACCCATCTGCCCCATCATCCGCTGCTCAACCTTCCCATCGTTAACAACTCGTGCCTCAGGATATGACTCAAGCTCTTGGATTTCAGTTGCTACACTCCTTGAAGTTGTAGTATCTGATATGAAGTATTCCCTGGGACTGATAATAACAACAAAAACATCAATTAACTGATCAACAACAAAGGCAGAGTCCATTTCAGATTTATTAAAGGAAGCTTTCCAATAGAAATCCTGTAATCCAGACTTGATAGGTGCAAACAATGACAAGAATGGTGCAGAGCCTGTTGCTGTTTCGAATATGGATGACATTCTGGCATAAGGAAAGTCTGCCAG